AAAATAAAATAAAATAAAATAGAAACTGACAGGTGACGTGTCCTCCAAAGATAACTGAGATGATCTGCAGCGATCAGTGAAGTATTTTCTTTTTTATAACATTCGTTTTGTTTTGTTTTTGTCACCTGTACCTGGGCACCGCCCTCAAGGGGGTTTCCAGATTCCAGCTTCCCTTACTGTAAATGAAGTTACTTACCAGTAATCTTGTTAAGTAAACCTTAAATGTTTTTGGACTGTAACAATAAATTTATGACTTTTGAAGTGTTTTGTGCAACATGTGTGCATATTCAGCCAAATGCTTCAGAACTCTTTGTTGAAATTGTGCAGGTGGACAATGACCTTAAGTGCACTGTAAAAGCAATCAAAGAGTTTTCTTAGACAAAGAAGTGGAATTATGCTCCAAGAACAAGCAAGAACTGAAGACAGTTGCAGCAGAGGCCTGGCAGAGCATCACCAGGGATGAAACCTAACGTCTGCTGAAGTCTCTGTTCTGGACTTCAGGCTGGAACGAACTGCAAAAGGTTTGTAACCAAATATGAAAAACAGGAAGTTTATTTTTATGATTGCTAATTCATCCCATTACTTGTGGTCCCTTAAAAAATGGAAGGTTTATCTACAAACTTTTGTTATTCATACACTGTTCAGCTGATTTGACTGTAAATCTCTTCAAATAAAGGCTGAAAGTCTGCAGTTAAATCACTACTTGTTTCATTTCAAATCTATTGTGGTGTTTATAGCCARAACTGTGTGGATGTCCAAATATTTATGGACCTGACTGTAGAMAAAACACAAATTTATGTTTATCTTGTGCAAAACATTCACTTTTATCACAATTAGACAAATGTGGGAGATTTATCCAAAAACCATGTACAATAGGAGGCCTTCAGACCCAGGCTCCCCTGCAAAAGAGATGTTGATCTCAATGAGATTTGATGGAGCTAGTGCATTGCATAAATATAAATAAGTTATGCAATTATAGGTTCAAACAGTATTTTATTTGTTTATTGGTGGGAAAATGTTGGGAAAATAAAACTTTTTAATTACAACGTGAAAGAAAATTAAAATAAACCCTGATATTAAAACTACTGTATGTAATTCAAATGATCTAAGGTTGAAGAGCCATGCTGCTATGATGCCCAGCACAGATGGCACATCTATGTTGTGAGTTACAGATGTTAACTTTCCT